TTAATTGATAAATAATTAAAATAAATAAAAATTTTTGAATTAAATAAAAGTTAAAAGAATCCTTAAAAATCCTTTTGAAAAAAAAAAGCAATTACATTGTGTGAGAGAATTTTTAACGATTTTTTTTAACTTTTTAATCAATTAAATTTTTTATCATATTTATTTATAAATTAAATTTTAAACATTTTAAAAATGAATTATTAATAATTAAAAAATAATCTTACATCATAATATAATTTATTTATCATAAATTTTAGTTATGTATAAAAATACTGGTATATAGGGATTGATTATATCAATCAAATTAATTATTAAAATTCTCAACATGAGGATTAACGTGAGTAAAGAAATACATTTTCAAGAATATTATGTAAAATAAAATTTTATCATATAGGAATTAATATGACCCACGCTAAACCTTTCAGAAAATAATTTGATTGTTTTTCAAATAAAAACACATAGGAAACTCAGAGATTTCATGAATACAACAAAAAACAATAAGAACACAAAATCACAAATGAATGTGAAGGAGCAAGTTAAAAGGTTGAAAGGAGAGGGAGAGGGGGTAGTTAGAGATATAATGTGGTTGAAAATGAAGGACAAAGTTATTAATAATTTGCCAAACAATTCATAAACCCTACAAAGATATAATATATAGGTCATTTATGAGGCATGGTGTGAAGTATGAACATTATCATGAAAGCACGTTGTTTGGACGAAATATTAAGAAAATGAGTGTAACAGATGTGGAGCATTAAAAGAATTTAAAAAGAAGAAAAGTAAAACATACCTTGACAGGGTAATGGCAAAGCAGAGGAAGTTTATCAGTGTCACCAGTTTGCAGATAAAATGCCTCGTTCAGATGACACGTTTTCACACTGCATGTCATGATGTCACATGTGTAATCAAACAAACAGACAAACAAAACCCAATTTCTTGTTAATTGTTATTTACTATATGATATGAATGAATGAATCATTACTCAGAATTGGAGGGTGAGATCATAGCAACCCAATCGCCATCTGAAGGATCGGAAACGCCAGAGACTGTGACAGTCACAAACTCTTCATCTGACAAGCTAGAATTTGAGGAGATGTTGACTTTAAGAGAGGGACTTGAAGCAGAACAATCATCCAAAACTTGTCTGTTAATGGTTCTGAATTGTGATACAGCAGTGAAATTCCGGTGCAGGTGTGTGGTGTTGGTAACCACACGGTCCAAAAGCGAGGGAGAGAAAGCCTCAGAAGATGAACAACTGTGGCTAAGGAAGAAAACAAGTAAAAGGGATACATGTTTCAGAATCCAGTTAGAGGATTCCATGGAGGAAGAAAAACAAAAAGAAGGCCAAAGGGTATGCAAGGAAGAAAAACCAAAGGACTTGGTTTTGGGTTTAATATTTGATCAAACTTAGGCTCTTTAAATACTAGTAGATGTAGAGTGAGAAATGGCTTCATAAGGAAAAAAGATGCAGTTATGGAAGAATTAAGGATCCCATGATTAATTACATGGATTTGGATAGGGATGGTTCATAATCATATGGTACGTGGTTTTGGTAACACCTTTTACATTCCTTTTATCTGGTTTTTTCTGATGATGTCTTGTGTTGTGTTTATATGTAGAGACTTGTAAATGGTGTGCACGCTAAGTAGTAAATAGAATAGAGTTCTAGTTAGACTTTGGTGTTGTATTCGGCACCAGTACCACCACTAGCCAAAATGCATTTATTTCGCCAACAATTTTATCATTCTTCTTTTCTATGCTTTTACACCCACTCTTTCAATCGTTTTAATTTCCTTCTCAAAATTAAATTACGATTATTTTCAAATTGAAATAATTTAAATTATTAGCAAACACAATACACTAGTACAAAAATCAATTGAATTTATATTTTAAGAAAAATATGTTTTTATGATACTCTAAGGTGTTATGAAATATGTATCCAACTTTTATTAGGACACTTTGTGAGAAATTAATTAAATTATTTATATTATATATTATGAAAATTTTGATGTATATAAACGAGACTTCAAATAATTTTAAATTAATGTTAAACTTTGTAGATATGATCTGTGTAAAACGAAAATTTAATTCAAGGGTTTGAAGTTAAAGATATCCAATTAAAAGTTATGGATTGTATAATTTTTTTGTTGTTGAATAGATTGTATAATTGTTGATGTAAGTCACATGTATATGTATAAATTAAGATTAACGATTCAAATTATATATTAAATTACAAATTTACTCACAAATATATTATTTATTTAAGTAATATTGAATTTGATCCTTTTAAATAAAATTTTAAATTTTAGTCTTATGTACATAAATTATATAATTGAGAAATTTTTTTTATTAAAGATGATCAGTCAAATTTTTTTGATAAAAATTAATCAATAACAAAATTAATGAATAATTCACTTTAATTAAAGAAATACAAGTTAAATAAGTTATTGGAGTTCGATTCCTAACTTGAGTATGAATTTGTATAACTAAAACTATAATTTTACCTCTATAAGAGAGTTATACATTTTTAATAGGAAAAAATTTATTTTTTATAAAATAAAAATTAATTTAAAAAACAGTTTAAACAAGTACCAAAAAAATGTTGAAAATATTATTTTATTAAAATAAGTATTTTAGAAAGAAAAAAAAAACGGAATCATTATTATTCACGTTAACTAACAGTGGACCACGATATTTTTGGGTCAAGCCAATTTAATTGCAAGATAATAACTTGTATTTCATCCCAATCTTTTACATGCTGTAGAATAGGCCAAAGTGTCCATGCTTTTCTTAAATTTTATTTTTATTTTCAAGCAAGAATTATATAATATTACTAATATTTTTTTTATTGGAGTCGAATTCAATTTCACAAGTTTACATAGTTTTCACACTTTTCTCAATCAATTGAGTTAAATTCTTTAATTTAATATTAATTTTTAATTATATATATGATATTTATGTTAAATAATCATTTTCCTAATATATTATATTGTCCAGATGACTACCGGTAATATTATCATACTTTAAAACTAGATGTAATATTACACATAAAAATAAAAAATAAACTAGATGCAATACTAGATCGTTACACCGGTTTAATTAAAAGTTAAAAATATGATTTAAATATGTATAAAAATGTGATTTAAATATTGTAAATAAATTAATAATTCACTGTAAATACTATTTTTAAGTTAAGCGTATACTTTTTTGTTAATAATAATAATAATTGTAATAATAATAATAATAATAATAAGTTGTGAATATGAAAATTAGAAAAATCAAAATAACACAGATTAGATATGAAAAATAAAATTGCAATTGACCCTTGATTTCTCGGTCTAAAATATCTGGGTCATTCTTTTAATTGAATTTAGTTCATTTTTTTATTTATTTATGCCACAGTGAAACACTGTTTATCGTTTGATTCATTTCTTTTACTGAAACTGCAGCATTCTATTTCTATTAACAAATTCGGAGTATGGCCCAAACAAACAAACTTGGCGACAAGAAGTATGAAGCCCAACCCATTAATTCCTGATAACCAGCTTCCATTGTAAATTGGGCTTCTATTAAAACTTTCAACGAATTTTGGGCTTACGGAACGAAATAAAGAATCAAGCCCAAATCCTTCAGAAGAATTTGTATATTCCGACTAAAAATTAGTAAAAGAAAATACTCTGTGGATTTCCAAATCTTGTTCTATTTTGTTTTTTATTTCCATCAAAATCTTATATAATTTCAAATTATTCCTGGGTTATATATATTTTTTGGTGAAACATGCTATATTTCCTTTGAAAATCAAATAGTACGAGAAGTGCAAAAGAATTTGATTTGTTCGAGTTTCCAATTGTGCGTAGCTTATTTTGGGTCCAAAAATCTGAACATCAAAAGTTTGCTATAAAATTTTTAAACAAATATTTTCGTAAAAATCATATTTCTAAAACATAAAATTGATTAATAATCTATGATAACATAAGGCAATACAATTTTTTATGTACACATTTCTTTATGAAATTTTTATCTCATAATTATCTTCAAATGTTATTTTATCTCTCTCTTGTTATTTCTCATAGAATTGACTACTTAATTTCCTAGGGTTATTCAAACATTCTTCAAATGTTCTTGTTTGCTACTGCTTGAAAAAGGAATCTTTGTTGCTTCTTTTGTGCCGGTTCTTCGTGCTTTTGTTTTCTATGTATAATAAATTTATGTTTTTGAGAAAAGTTTTCAGCTCTAAACATAACGGCAACAATCTTTTAACCCTTGTAATAATCTCCACAGTTAGCATTGTTTGGACCAATACATAGGAATTGTAGTACTAGTTTAGGTAAAAACATGTTTCAGAAGAAGAAGAAAAAAAAAAAATTGCTTGAATTTCATAATGTCATGGCTATAAAGAAAAAGTGGAATGCTTCATGTGAAACTTCCTCTAAACAGAAGTGAAGGCCTTGGAATGGAAACTTCATATTCGGTCAAGAACCATCTTGGAAGACGCAAGGGAAAAGGTGCAATATTGTGGTGTATAAATGTATTGTGAAATTCATTATTTCGAATTTTGATATCCTCGGCATGATGCGAAGGAAAAAATATAAGTTCAACAGGCCAGATAAATTTTCTGCCAATATATATAATGGATAATTGATGAGTACTGGACTATAACCTTGCCAACTGAAAATGTCACAATATACAGTATCTTAGAACATTTACAAGAGCTTCTACACAGTTATTTTGAGTTTTTTTTTTATCGATAGAAATTACCCTAGTAGAAATAAAATTTTGAACGTAAAACTTTATATATATATATATATAT